GAACCGGAAGAACAGCTCGAGTTATCTACAAATGAGGGAACCGTTGCGTTAAAGTATTCGCTGCGACCGCTCGACAATGAATAGGATTCGACATCAATGGTAGAACAGGTCGGCCTGTGATGGGAAACACTCCGACTGTTTGTTACGCCCTTTATGTTTGAAACATATCGAGAAAAACATTAGTTATATTATTAAATACAACACTTTATACAAATGGACAATACCTTAGTATCGGTGGCGGAACCGCTGCTATCGGATGAGTGTTTCTCTTTGGGTGGCCTATTATGACGGGTTTGGTTGACAGTGCGTCCAATAGTTGACTGATTAAACAGTCGACGCAATGAGAATCGGTGTCGAAATCCCAGACTATGTTTTTTAGTGGCATTTGTGTTGCCATTGGTTGGCGTACTATTCATAACAAGCGTTTGATTGGCAATAGTAATGGACACGTCTTTCGGGTTAGCGGTGGACGCGATGGTCGACGCCGTCGTCGATGTCGAGGTTTGGCGATGGGTTTGGTGTTGAGATCGACTCGTATTGGATACAGATTTCATGTGTTCGTCAGAACCAGAAGCTCGAAGTGATTTCATTGTCTGTCTAATGAGAAGATCAACACATGATTAGCGCAACGAATACTAAATATATCACAAATTCAATACAAATCGTTAATTAAAACGCCAGAAAAATATGGAAAATTATTTAACTAATTAATCAAACATTTAATTAAATCTAAATTAAAAAACCTTAACACAGGATCAATGACCTAAATGTAGAAAACACTTAATAAAAAATACTTAATGAAAAAATAATCACCAATTTTTATAAACGTTATAATGTTTTCAGTCGTAAACCGTATAAATTATATATAAATCCATATTAGAAACATTAGTGTAAACTAGAATTAAAATATTAGTTAAAAATAATCAAAACTGTGTTCAAAAATGGTTCACATATTAATAGCTTAAATCGCTTTACACTAAAGGATGTGATTTATTATGAATAACAATCAGTGTTTGACATTTAAAAATGCAAACCATTTATTTAATCTAATATTTCACGCGAAATAAACAAATGATTGTCATAATAAACACATCGATATTCACTGCAAAACTAAATAAGATATTCAGTGAGTGTTTCGAAGAAAAAAACTGATTATTTAATCATTTAATAAAATCGTTAAACCATTGAGTACTCAGAAATGGTTAAGCATTTCATTATTACATAGCAATGGTGTCTCGAAATATGGCATCAATTTGTTTAACACTTATTATAAAAATAGTTTAGTCATTACATCGTTGACACAAAACAACAATAAATAATATATCAATAATGAAATAATTCATTACATTATAATATATAAGCGTAAAAATTCAATTGTCGTCGATTTAAAAGTATGAGAATTACATTTTTAACCACAATTCAGATATGAATAATGTGGTTTATAGGATCGTTCGGCTCCCCCTCCCCCTCCCCCCTC